CAGGTGCTCCTTGAAATCCTTCTCTTTTCAATGCCCTCCTGAACACTTGCCAATTAGCAGCAGCAGAATTGAAGAACTGAAGAAAATGATGGAAAGAGACAGGAGTTGTTAAGGGTTTCTGCAGTTTAATGACCCCTCGGAGGTATTTGGTGCTGAGCCCATGAACCATGGATGCTGAGAGGAAGCTGAAGAAACCTCTCCAGAAGTTGAAGGGAGAAGAAAATCCCAAGTTTCTTGGAGTGTTAAGGAGTCCCCCTGAGGGCCATTACTGACAAAGCCTCCCCAGGGGGCTGATGAGAGCACAAAGCTGGAGGCCCTGATTACAGGTAGGCCAAGGCAATGTGCAGGTGCCTCTGTGATGCCAAGTCAACCTTGATGTGTGTTATCAAGCAGAGCAGCCAGCCCCTGACCACCAGCCCCTGCGTAGGGTGATCCTTTCCATCACACATTGCTCATGTGGGCAGTGTGCGGGTGGTGAGTGTACAACGCCTAGTGCAGGACCATGATACAGCACCTCCTGGGCTCCTGAGGGACAAGGAGGCAGCAAGACTACAGTGCTTTAAGGAAAGAGCATCTTTTCATGGGCCTTGGTGGCAGACACCAACCATAGCCAAGAGGCCAAAGACCTAGCTCTGCTGGGAGCTTTCAGCCTTGGCAGTGCCCTCAGCTGTCTCCACCACAGGCTGTCCTACACTGCCTCCATGCCTGTGCCTCTTTGTCTGCAAACTGTAGACACCCAACCTGCTTCCCCACCTTGCTCTCGCCCCAGGATCTTCCTTCTTCTTTCTACTAGTGTCTTTCTGTCCTCACTTGCTTTTCCTGGAAACACAAAGGCAGGGGCTGATCCCAGAGTTCCTCTGGGTGGCCTGTAGCCCCACAGCACTACCCTTCAAGTGACATTTTCTTTTCCTAATGTCACATCTAAACCCCACAAGCTACTGTTTGTGGATTTTTCTCCTTCTCATGCTGCTTCCCATTACCAAGAACAGCTCCATCATCTCTCATACCAGCCTTGACGTAGTCACAGTCTAC